AGCATGCAGACAAAAATGCCTAGATCGTGTTTGGAATTGATCCCGTTTTTTTTTTACGTTTTTCGAAAAAAAAAATGAAAATATTTCTAAAATGACGTTTAGTGTAATCAAGACAAAAAACGGAAATGAAAATAATTTTTTAGTTTAGTGTAAAATGAAAGAGAAATGAAAAACAACTTTTAGTTATTTTTCATTTTTTATTTTCGTTTTCTCCTCTCTCGAGCAGAGAAAAAGAGAGTAAGATATTAATGGATTTTTTTATACTGAAAATAATTTCTTGATAAAACTACCAAACACATTTTAAAAAATGATTTATATCTGAGATTGAAAACGTTTTCACTTTTATTTTCATATGAAAAACAAAATCATTTTAGAACAAGTTCTAAACGCATTTTTATTATTTTTTCTTACTCATCTTTCTATACTTTTGCCGCCACCTTTGCTTACCTTGCTGCCACTTTGGCCGCCTTACCTTCACCGTGGATCTCTCCCTCTCTCTCTTCAAGCACTGGGGAGATCTTTAGTGAGATCTCCATGAAGCTCTCGCAGCTAGATATCTCCCTTGAGTGGGGAAGATCTCACCAAGGTTGTCCAAGATCTCCGTTACGCGGGGAGATCATTAGTGAGTTCTCTGCTGCTGTAGCTTAATGGATATGGTCGATGGACTATATTAAAAAAAAATTAAACTTAAATATCAAAATATACACAATATATAAAGGGTACCTACAAACTTGTTATCATACGCTTTTTTAGCTATAATTAGTTTTTAGTAGTCAAACTAGCATATTTAGTAGTTAATTAATGCTTGTTTCAAATGCAAAAATATTAATTTTCCACTATTCTTATTAGTTGGGATATAAGTGGGTCATAAAGTTTTTTTTTTCTATGTTATCCTATCACATCTCATTTAAAGAACATATTGGGTATCGTGTCGTGTTACTTGTTTGATAGACATTTCATACTTGTGTTTGAATTACTGACACATTTATTGTTAATGTCCTGTTCGTAATAACTCTAATTATGTCGTACCATAATTCTATTGTCTGAACCCGTCACTTAAACACAAACTTCCATCCTTTTAAATCAATCCAAAATTCGTAAGCATTGCATTTTTTTGTAAGCCTGATCCAAATCTCAAAAAAAAAAAAAAAAGAGAAAGGGAGAAAAAAAAAAAGAGGAAGAAGAAGACCCATCAAGACACCAATCTAACTAGGGCCGGCAATATGGGTCACGACACGACGACACGATTCAAAAACGACACGAATTTTGCGGGTTAGGGTTGAGAAAAAAAGAAGTTCGGGTCAGAATTGGGTTAACCTAAAATTGACACGAAAAACACGGGTTAATTTCGGGTTGGACATGTCTAACCCGAACACGACATGAAACTCGTAAAAAACTAAAAAATACATATATTTTTCATTTCATATTTTAAATTTTATTATGAACTTGTGATATCATGATAGTTATACTCAAAATCTTATACTATTATTTGCTTAATTTCAATGGATGTTATTGTAATTTAGTGTGTTATGAATTTTAAGTTATTTCTAATATGTAAAAAACTAAATAAAAATATAAAATTTTCGTGTCAATTTCGTGTCACGGGTCATTTTTGGGTCGTGTCGTGTCAACTCGTAAAGCAGTCGTGTCGTGTTCGTGTTGCAATTTTTAAAAAATTTCGTGTCACGGGTCGTGTTTGGGTTGACTGCAAATTTAAAAAAAATGATCAAAATACGACACGAACACGACACGTGACACAAATTGTCATCCCTAAATTCAATGGCCATCACACAAAGGGACCCACTAAAGTTCAAACCCAGACCTCAACGTCCGTCGTTTTTGATATCTTTAAGGTAAAGGAAAGTGGGAGAATGAGGGAAAATGGCCAAGATTTAAGAGGAATTAAAATTAATAGGCCAATATTTTAGAAAAGTTAATAAATAAGCCAACTTAAGGTAAATCTAGATTTACAAACACATGAATTTCCAAAAATACGCTTGGTAAATTTAAGATGTGCCGGCGGTCTCCCGTCCGACTGCACCATAACCTGATAGGTTATGATACATAACCTGACAGGTTAACCCGCTGGCGGCCATAACCTGACAGGCTATGATCCATAATCTGATAGATTACGTCACCCACCGGCGGGTCTCTGGCCGGCGGCCATCAGCCATAAACCGACACCCTATGATCCATAACC